AACCCATCTCATCATGCAAAAACACAAACATGCACACAAACAATCCCCCCCCCCACCCTTTCCCTGCACAACCCACCCAGATATCTCAATCACTTCACCAGGAATAGACTTAGCTCGGCTGTGTCGAGGAAACAGAGAAAATGAAAAATGTGTGGCTGAGGAAGAAAGAGAAAAGAGAGCAGAATGGGGGGAGGAAGATTATGCTATGGCAGCAGCTAGTGTTTGGGATTACACAGCTTAAGGTGCTTCACGCTCGAGAGGTGCCGTCCATTTGTTAAAATAAAAACGAGAGTGAGGAATAAAAACGAGGTTTCTGGTGTAATGGAGCCGTCTCACCCGGCTGACCTTTTAGGAATATGTCAGGAAACTCATATTACATTTCCTCTGCCATGAACGATTTCCTCATCATTGCTGAGTGTGTGTTAGCATGTGTGCACATGCTGAGCTGTGCAGGTAGGATGCAGAAATACTGCCTTCACCAATTCCATTTCCATTCTGCACGCAGGTTTAAGAACCAATGATGTCTATCAGATAAGCTGAGCGGGTTTAATAAGAATCCTGTTGCTTACAGGTGTAGCCCTGCATTATTGGAAATACACTTAACGGCTTCCTTGATGATAGTTAGATAAAAAGATTGATACCGCTCTCATACCAGTGCACCTAATGTAAAGCTGGCCCAGAGGTAGTTAACTGAGCTTAGCATTAAGACTTGGCCTGAGATAATTGCAAGCACTGCTCTTTTTTAAAGGTTAAAAATCCACCTATAAGCTCCCCCAGAGCATACGCATTAAACCAATATATCTCACTCATTTGCTGCGTACAAAAACAAAGCAGTACGAAATACAAGTTCTAATTCAAGAAGAAGTGTGACCATTTACTGGCCGAGTGCAGTTACTTCCTAATGTTTCATAATCTTCAAGCTGTAAAACTTTTATTTATGTTTTTTATTTCTCTCCAGTCTTGACATCTAGAGATATTTGCAGATTTTTTTTTAAGGCCTTCTTCTTTCATGCACAGCTAATCCAATTCTCTGCTGTCTCAAGCTTCTTCTTTTTTTTCCAAGATCTCCTCCAAACATCCTGAAAAAATCCTTTGAATTTTATTTGGTCCGATTTATTTTTATTTTTTTGCCTCATTTAAGAGACAGTCTATGCTGAAGTGAGTTTTTCTTTACAGAAGTTTGAAAGTTCACAGCACACTGAAAAGTCTATTCTCAAATTCAAGTTTACACAGCAGACTTTGGTTAGAGGCATTCTGGAGAATTATTTATATTTGATATAACAAAATCTGCTTTTACATCTTTAAGTTAGATTTAAAGCATTTTAAGAGTAAGGAGGCTATAACAACATTTTTAATAACATGAGAGAGGCATCAATATTCATATCTAACTATTGGTGAAAAGAGCAAAAACAGGATTTTTTTTTTAGATGGAGATTTAAACTACAACATATTGTGTGTGTTGGTCTGTTCGCTCACTCAGTCTTTAGCACGATGACATGCTCACCTGTATCTCATGGATGAGGCCTGCCTGGGGCTCAGCAAAGGGAGAAAAAAAAGAAAGGGTTTTTCTATTTTTGGTGTTGAACCTGAAAGTTGATGGATTGAACTGAAACGGCCTGAAGGAGCATTCATCATCAGCTGTCTTGTTTACTGCTGAAACTCTCCCAATCCAAGTCTCTTTGCCGGCGGGTTCCAAATGTCTCCCCCGTGCCGCGGTGATTGTTGAGGGGAAAGTCAGAACTCAGTGTGACAACAGTGGAGTAAATGTCAAGAGAGACATCTGCGTAGGTGCAGAGAGGACACACTCCAGAGGGAAAGAGAAAGAAAGAAGAAGAAAAAAACACAACAACACAAAAACAAGAAACTATAGAGATTCCATTCAGGCACGAACGTGACAGCTCAGAGCAGGGCCACTGAGGCCCCTGATCATGGGCCCATAACTCGCCGTCTTGGAAGAAGACCCCAGGTGGCTTTAATGTCAATACAGAACGGGTCAGCGGGTTTCTACCGTGCTGCTCATTCATTCTGTCCACTGCTGATCCCGAGCAGGAGGAGAACAGATCCTCATGTTTGTTATTATAAAAGTCCATCACGTCAGGAGATGATGAGATGTCACATTTAACTGCTTTGGTCCAATGACTTTTTTCTGATGCTTATAGGGCCTTTCACAAGTGCCCTTCAAAAAAGATACACTTAGAACGATGGTAAAAGATCATGACTGGCAGTTTGACTGGCAATATCTACACCCAACAGATGTAGTGGCATTGTTCACAAATCTTCCAGACCTTTGTGTGACCTTTGTTGGAGCTTGATGTGTTTCTTATCTATTGCACAATTCCTCGCCGGTACATTTCAGGATATGATAGAGCAAAAAAAATAAAAGAAAGGGGGGGAAGGAGGGCAGATAGATGCAAAACAGCAAAATGTATGCTTGTCACAGAACCATTCCCTCGCTATTTCAGCTAAGTGAAATTATCTTTATCAAAGAAAGCACTATGTAACAATAATATGTGCTGGAGAGAAAATGTTTCCAGTGATTCAACACATTTACATAATGCCTTCGTCTAGATGGGAAGCGGCCATGTTGCCTGATAACAACATCTTCAGTTTTGGTCCTTATGTGGGTTTAAATGACTTTTTATTCATGAAGATGAATGACAAAATACCTCAAATACTCATCCAAATGTTATTTCAAATTGAGGCTGCTTTTTGCATATTTAGGTAAAGAAGCCTAATTGATTAAAAATGTGAATCTGACTGGAGCATCAGTGTATTTTTAACAGGGGATATGTGATTGTCAAACCATGATAAGAAACAAAACTCCTCATAATAAATATAGATAAAATCAGGCATTATGTAAAGCACAATAAAGATGAAGGAAGCACCCATGATTTGCTAAAGTTGCAGCACACAGCATAGAAAAAAAAGGAACTTCTTTCAAATTTTAAAACAAAAATTTGCCCAATAAAAAAAACATGTGCTACAAAAAAGTTTAGCTGCACTCAGATTTTTTTTAAAAAAAGAAAAAGTCTAGATTTCTGTACACTGTAATTGTGAGACTCACTGGCCAGCAGTGCATTTCCTATTGCACTGAGGTAGTATGGCTTGTAAGCCTTGTTGAAAGAAAATCAAGTTGTAGTACCTGTGACTGCCCACAAGAGGTCTCTGTTTCTCCAATTCTACCCAAACTTTAGCATGGTCACTGTCACTAACAGTGCCATCTCATCTGTGAGCTGAGATTAGAAAAAAAAACTCAGTACTTAAATAATTTAAAAATATATCTAAAATAAATAACATGCTGAGTATTAACTGCACTTTACATTAATGCACCATAAAAACAGGTTTAAAGTGCACTAATTCACAAAACAGAACCACTTCATTCCTCATTATCGCCGCTGTGTGATCACAAGGTAACAAATTAAGAACAACAAAAAACAAACATAAAACAAATATGCCTCACTAAAATAGACAACTGCGATCTAGCAGGTACTGTACTTTGTATAATACTATGATAACTGTCCAGCAGAAACATAAAAAGTTAGCGTTCAGCCTTAAAGAGCGCCTCAACTTTCGTTAGAAAACCATTTCAGCAGTCTTGAACATCAGCCTTTATGAATTTTGATCCAAGATAGAAATAGAAGTATTTAAAATGTCACAATGAAAGTTATTTGTGAGGTAAATTATTCCAATCTTAGAATGTGTAAAAGTCCTCCTTAACCTTCTTTCTTTACATCTGTATTAAGTATCAAGTGATTCCAGGTACTGACAGGAAAATGTGTTTTCTGTTCAGAAGTTATAAATCATTGCGTTTCTTGTGTCATAAATAAGTCGTAAAATCACACACAAAAGACTGTTTTTTGGTGTTGATCACATTATGGGCTAAATGCTTTGCATATATATCCCTGGGATTCTATTTTTTCACTGCATTTCCAGTATTTTCATATCTACTCATCAGCGGTTACATTTTATGTCAACAAAACACAACACATACATATTCATATATCATTACTTGTCCCTGAAAGCATTAAGAGTAAATGTAAACCTTTTCTTGTTCATTTTTTCAGGGTGATTAACCACTTCATATGAGGTGAGATCTTAAGATAATGGTTGTTCCTTTGATTATCCAGAAAACTAAAACGTTTTTTTTGTCTTTTTTTCAAGTTTTGCAGGTTTTTTTCAGATCTTTCAATCTGGGTAACAAAAAACAACACTGATATTAACAATTTTTTTGGAGCTTGAAGCTCTAAAACAAAGCATGCTAATTTCAATGGGCTTCTTCTGTGTATTAAGCCAGTTCTTAAGATAGTTTAAACATAGAGCAAGAGTTTTTACTTTTTTCCAATTCAAGGCTGTCAGTTAAAACAGATGTAACAAGAGAGCAGAAATAATTCCCTAAGGAAGACTTGCATTGGCAGAAGACGTTAAAACATGTACAATGAAAGTTTTTTAAAAAGTTGATAACGTGAGTAACATGGGGATTTAGCGTGCTTGATGACGTGTGGCTTAAGGTGAATACATTTTCTGGTGAATCTGGAGACTAAATCTTGTTGGACCAGTGAGAGTGCTCCAGGGCAACGTTATATTTTGGTGAGCTTTGTTACTTATGGATATACTCTCGGTGGTGTTCATCGGTCTATGGCACTCGAAGAAGATTTGGTTGTTTCATGTTTTTGCCATCCACCATTTAGGACCTCCATTCAGGTGAACAAACACAAAAAGGCACTTATCGGCCATCATAGTCAGAAATGGGCAGGAATAAGCCATAGCCATTACCCTGCTCAACTTCCGTATTATGCGGTGCAAACCTCTTTAAGAGGTTTATAGCTCCCATTCATCTTCTTTTTTTTTTTTATCTCGCAGACACTGTCCTCCTCAAATACTTTCACTGAAGGGTGACCAATCCCACATTTCTGTCTCTCAATCCTGCCAAAATATTACAAATCTTGACTCTCCTCTGTGTATACATTTTAGTAAACCAGCAATAAGCCATAGCCATTACCCTGCTCAACTTCCGTATTATGCGGTGCAAACCTCTTTAAGAGGTTTATAGCTCCCATTCATCTTCTTTTTTTTTTTTATCTCGCAGACACTGTCCTCCTCAAATACTTTCACTGAAGGGTGACCAATCCCACATTTCTGTCTCTCAATCCTGCCAAAATATTACAAATCTTGACTCTCCTCTGTGTATACATTTTAGTAAACCAGCACTAAAAGTGTTCCTCCTCAACAGATTTAAACATCTCTCTTTTTTACACTAAGTCTTTTTTTTTTTAAATTTACATTTTCAAGGACATATTGCTTATGGGAGATTGCAGGTAACATTCTTAAGCCACCCATGTCCTTGAAGACATCAAAAGACGGGGGAAAAGTGTGTGGGGATGGTTTCATTTTTTCCGCTCTAGGTAGTTGGATGGGACCCAGCCCTTGCGGGGAAGCAGGCTGTCCTGCACCTGGCAGTACCACCATCCATTGGGGTTTCTCTCCAGAACCTCCAAACAGGTGCCCTCTGTGAAACCCATCGTTTCCTCATCGCCCCGGTAGTCAGCGATGGACACGTACACATCCCTGCCGAGGTTATTGTGAATCAGCTGGCTCTTCTCTATGGGCTTGGGTCGGACTGTGGACACGGGGATACCGTTGCGTTGGCTAACTCTGCTGAGGCCGTCCTGGACATTGCTTGTGCTGAACGCGCTCCCCGACGACCCGAGGCTGGAGCGCTCGACAGGCCTCGTCTGACTTTCGACAACTACATGTGGCCGCACGGTGCTGAAGGAGGCGTTTCTACGCACACCGAGAGTGGCGGAACCAGATCCATAGTGATCACTTCTGCCCAGTGATTCATTGCGCCTCAGAGAGCCTGTCATGTAGTGTGCATCCTTGGCCGGCTGTGTGGTGGTCACAAACACAGACTGTGGCCGTACTGCCACCTGGCGTACCCCATTTCTCATCCGAACACCTCCATTTACCATCCCAGACGGCTTCTGGAAACCCCCAGGAGGCTTCGAAGGAATCGCCGGAGTATTCCTTCTCATACCTTGGTGCTGCTGGTTCAGACCCTGAATGTTGATGTTGTTGAGGGCCAAAACGTGCTGCTCATTTTTCTCCAGGCTGTTGGACTTACTCCCACCACTTCCATGTCCATCTGATTCCGACCGGCCTCCATCAGCTGCTTGCCTCACAGGTTCCAGGTAGTAAGAGGGAGCCCAGCCTTCCTCGGATCCCCAGCGGATATACCACCATCCGCTCTCCTGCTTCTCCAGGACCTCGACCTCCACCCGGGCCGGAAAGCTGATCTCAGAGTCCTGGACCTTCTTGTAGGCGTCAAGGGAGCGGTAGTGATTGGGGCCTTCCACGTCCGAGTCACCCCGGCTCCCTTTGGAGTACACAGAAGAGAGATCTGAGGTGCTGTGGGAGCACATGGAATCCTCTGACGAAATGACCGAGGCCGTTTCAGAGTCTTCCCCGCGTCCAGGTTTGAGCCCGTGTCGAAACTGACTTGTAGGCCTCAGCTGTCGTCTCAGAGAGCCGATGTCCATCCTCTCAGGAGTCTGGGGTTCTGATTTGGTCAGAAGTGGTTTGGGTCTGACGGATGGCTTGGGTCTGGTTGAGGGGCTCTGGCCTATTCTCTGCTCTACATCCCGGCTGAAGCCGGGAACTTTCTTGGGTCCTCTGGTCAACTCGTCTGATGAAGAATGTGGGCTGTTATCCTGAGACCTGAGGCTGATGTCTATGTGCCTGCCCAGGGTCTGGCTTCTCCTGTTCATCTCCGGAGTCATGGTCTTCATGGGTCTGCCCGCTAAAGGTGAGGATCCGGAGGGTTTGCGTGGAACTGTGGAGGAATGGTAGATCCTTGGGGAATTTGGCTCACTGGCACCTTTGGCCGCAGTGCCTTTGCCGCCACTGCTCGACCTGAAGCCGTCGTTCTCGTAGATGCATTCTTCTTTTCCGACCTCCTCGACGGATCTGAAGGAAGTTCGTCTGCGAGTGAAGACGGGGGACGCTTTGCAGACAGGAGGAGAGGCCTTACAGAACGGAGGAGAGCTGCGGTACTTGTCACCGACCACGTTGCTGATCTTCACATCCAGGGAGCGCTCATCCTTCAGGGAATCTGTGTCTGATTCACCTTCACAGCCAACGGCAGGGACATCATATTCAGGCTCCTCATACACAGGCCTGCTCTGCGGCTCTGCGACTTTAGGAACAGAGCTAGCAGGAGTGGGAGTTTCTTCAGAGTTTTGCTTTTTGACAGGTGGTGCGGGGGTTGGGACTTTGGGCCGAGTCAGGGTGCTGGTCCGGCGGCTGAGGTTTGGCTTTTTGCGCTTGTCAATGTAGGAGCACGGGGCCCAGCCCTCCATCTCTCCGATCTGCACATACCACCAGCCCCCAGGGTTCTTCTCTATTACCTATACGACAAGACAAAAAGGATGCATGCTGTTGAAAAGAGCATTTCTCCTTCTGCAGGATTTCAGTCGAATTTAAAATTGAAATTGGTCGAATTTCCTAAAAACACAGTATTTCCCCTGATGGTGGTGCCTTTCATCCTCCTGAGAACCTAGTGCTGTGTGTAACCCATGTTCTTGTAGGCTCCTTACTTACCTTGATAACCAAAAAATTGTCTTAAGTGTACACACGGCAGAGACATAAACCCTTTACAGACTGCTTTCATTTTTGCAAAAAAATGCTGTAACTAAACTCAGCGGTCAATACTTCTTTAAACATTCATATTGATTCTGCGACAGCATAATATTAGCGTCCCAGTCTGTAAATTCACATCGCCATTAAGCAATGCACGGCACAGCAGGATCTCCACATAGACACACAGTCAGACGTGCATGCACACACAGTGGTGTACTCCCTCACCCCTGTAACTCCTCTCATACTACCTCAAAAGATGGAACAGAGGTGGGATCATTTCGTCCCCCCCATTATGCCTCTGCGACATTCACAATGAAGGTGAAACGCCACAGGGGAGCGTAAGTATTGCAGCAGCAACAGCAGTCTGAAAAGGGCTATAGAAAAACTTTAATTTTTACTCCTTTTAACTTTTCTGCTGGCATGGCTGAAACTTTGCTAAGACTTGATATCTACGACTAACTATCTTACAAAAATTGATTGGTTGGTTCCATTTAGGCACCAAAAACAGTTGGCGATTTGACGGTTTTGCGGCTTTCTTCCTGCGAAAATACTTCAGTCCAGGTGAAATGTATTGTTTGAGTGTCTCCAATGACGTCAGCCAAGGGTTTAGGACAACATTTCTAAGATGTGCTTTTCTTCTTGCAGGGAGATCAATGAAAAAAGACCACACAATAGTAATCCTACAACTCCCAGTTCACCATAACTTTACCTTGAAGGTTTCTGAATGATCTCATCCCTCTACCAGAGTCTCTGCAGAGTTTCATTCTTTCTACATCACCACGTTCAAACACAAATCTCAAGGTCGAATCGCTATTGCCTCAGCTTCCGAGTCTATCTGGGGCGGCACTCGGTCACCATTCATATTCAATGAGCCCTGACTGTCTATATCTCAGCAACAACAATGTAGATGTGGCCTCTTACATCAGCCTTTTGTCCTCCACGGAAACTGATGCCATCGGAGATTGAGGACTGGAAATCTGCTATGGTGTAATACTCTGCTTCCACAGCAGGGGGCTCTGGTGGCTTAGGTAACTGGAATCCCTGCATCAGAAAAAGAGGGGGAAATGTCATCATTTTTAGACATCATTATACTGTATCTGGCCATGACTTCAGAATGAGTGTACGGGCATAAGAAAAGAGACAACTCGTTTAAAGGTATGCTTTAGGCTTCATGTGATAAAGAAAAAACATATCAAAGCATGTACAGAATTCAAATGTGTTCAGTGGTGGATCAGATAATTAAAGACATGCGGGAACTTGTGTGTTTCTCTGTGCTTTGCTGTTACTGGGGTTGCTATGCCAACCGGGAGCTCATTAATAACCTTTTCCGTTTAACTTGTTATTCTTGCTTACTCTTTTTGTACTGCTTTGAAAAATCTTTTTCAGCTTGCACCAGCAGCTTGTTAGATCATTCTTCATTGTGATCATGGGTAGCTCTGTGATGCTTACACAGTCCTGGTGAATAAAGCTTAGTCCTGGTGAACATAGCTTAGTCCTGGTGAACATAGCTTAGTCCAGGTGAATATAGCCTCATCCTGGTGAACATAGCTTAGTCCAGGTGAATATAGCCTCATCCTGGTGAACATAGCTTAGTCCAGGTGAACATAGCTTAGTCCTGGTGAGCATAGCTTAGTCCAGGTGAACATAACTTAATCCTGGTGAACATAACTTAGTCCAGGTGAACATAGCTTAGTCCTGGTGAGCATAGCTTAGTCCTGGTGAACATAGCTTAGTCCTGGTGAACATAGCGTTGTTTCAAATGAAGCCCTAAAGAAAAACAGTAGCTTGTTAATTACTTACGAGGTTGGCTTCTCTTCTTGGGGGAGGTTTTTGCCTCAGATTTGGAGAGCCTGATAAACCAAAGAAACATCTCAATCATTTACAAAGTATGAACCCACATCAGACTAACATTTGTGCCTCGTTCCCATGCCCTTGGAGTCAGAGTGGCTGGTGGTGGTCATGGTGTTGGTTTCAGACTGACAGCTTCACTCAAAGTAACACCCGCTCTTCTCACCAATGAGCAAATTTCTTATTATACTTTTAGAGACCCAGGGTTACACAGGAAGCCAGAATGTTTCATTCATAGCACTCGTTTTGGTGTCTCATTACTGGATTTGGAGACTCGTGTATTGAATAAAAAGATTATCTCGATGACTGACTGATAGTCAAACTCACACAGAAGTGTGTCCATGAGGCAGATGTAGCAAGGAACCCATACTCAAGGTAGCATCAGCAAGGCTCCTTTAAGATTACCATTGGTATTAACAGTTAGTATGGTAGGGAAGCACTACAAAAAGGTTAGAAACTCAGTCCAAAGCACCCCAAAAATAGTGGAAAGTACTTTACTTTACTTTACCATCTAGCATCCTTACTTGGTAAGTATCTCATTTTCATCATATATAGTATGCAGTGGCTCACTAAGCTAGGCTTCCTTGATGGTTAGAAGCTGAACAACCTAAGCTTGATTATCATTTCTTTCCTGTAGCCCAAGTGTGTCTATTTTCTTAACCAAGGATTTTTCACAAGTATCCAAATGTTGTTCTGATCCTTACACAGCAAGTGTATACACTATTTAAAAAATATATCTCTTGGATTATTTTTTGAATATGAAGTCACAATTCAAACTACTATAGATCATAGCTTCAAAAATAACATAGCGAGGTTGCAACTGGCAATAAAACTAACTATCAACATCCAGACACAAATGATCATCTCATATTTCTGAAAGTTTTAGATTTCAGTACACTGACTCCATGGCGTTTGTTGAGCATGAGAGTGCACAGAGCAGATGTTGCAAAAAGGGAAAGAGACAACTGTGAGCACTGAGGTTCTTAGGGTTTGCCCAAACACATGTTAATCAAAAGAGGAAATGATGAATAAACCTAATTAAGTGCATATCAGCAAACCTGCAAACAAACACACTGAGCACTAATTAGATTACCGTTTGCTCAAATTAAAAATTGGCGATAAATGTATCTCTCCAAAAACTTTTAAAGCCCATGTTAAACAGCCTCACAGATTATTGAGTCAGATTCTGAGATTAGATTACACCACCACAGATTACAATCAGATAAAACCAGCATCTTACCTATAGCATCAAAGCCTACACAGAAAGAAAGCAGCATGTTTTAATGTCTCGTCTAAAGTTTCCTTCTCTCTTACACGTCTATGCATTTACAGATTTAATCACTGCCGCAGAAAGATTCATTATGTCCCAAACACTCCACAAAATGCTCACCAATTTCCACTCGATGAGGCGCCACTCTAGCAACAGCTGGGGACCCTGGCTCGCCTCTAGTTTTACTCTCTCTGAGTGCGGCGCTCGCTGCTATTCCCAGACACGGGCTGTTGGTGTCCCGTCCCGCGCTCAGCCTCCTGCCTGTCTCGGCGTTGATCTCCGAGTTATAGGGCATGGGCAGGCTGATCTCGCTCTTCGAGATGTGCCGCTCGGGTGAGGTGCCGGCTTCTCCGTCCGTCTGGATGTCCTTCTCGCTGACCGACTTCTTCTGCAGCAGGTTGCTGATCTCCATGATGTTGCCGATGATCTCCACGGGGCCCGTCAGAGTTTTCTTTCGAGGGGAGAAGTCCTCCTTTACCTTTTTCAAGTAGGAGGCAGGGGCCCAGCCCTCTTTTCCTAAGTATCTGTGGGTAGGAGACATAACACAGAATGAATGCATTCTCATGTAAAAGTTCAACTGCACTAACTCGTCAGGTATGTTTACATGACATGAGGTTTGAAGAAGGGTAAATGTACCAAGCAGGACTACAACAAAATATATTATTGGTTACAATTAAACTTCAATTAATTGTCTGGGCTTTTATTTACTTTGGTCCATGAAATGACTTGATAATTGTAAATGTATACCAGTTAGAATATTGAATATTCACTCTGCACCAAGTTAGGATAACGCTAAACAAATTGAGTTAGAAATGACTTATCTGATCTTGATTTTTAGGACAGTATGCCAACCTTCTGCATGGCTGCTATGCATACCAGCAACATTCTGTTTCTCTTTGACAAATGTTGAAGTTTTTTTGTGTCTTGCTGCTTTTTCTCCAGATGTTTGATCCACTAACTAATCAACACTAAATGCATATGGGCCTCTAACTGAGACCTGCCTCTATTTGTCAAAAACTTGCATAGTAATCATGAATCACTATAGAAGAAGTGAACACCCACAGAACACTTCTCATGTATGAGGAACAAAGTATGAGTCATTCTAAAGTCATATAATGAACAAAACAGTCTCTCTTTTCTTGGTCAAGATTTTTGTTTTTCACTATAATATGCTACATCTCTCTGTGATTTTCCGGGGAATTAAGCCTGTACTCGAGACTGATGTGACACTCACTGCTTAATTATAGCACTTCTTCCTCCAATAAGAGAAAGCCGTTATTGTTTTTTTTTGACGATGTATATTTATTAAATCTTAGAAAGTCAGATTTCTAGTTCTTCTGGCACATTATTTTGCCTATTTGGGTTTTTTTGGGCATTTATTCTTGAGGTGAGTCTGAGAGCATTTCATTACTTTTTTTCTATTCATCAGTCTCCGCAGCTCAAAGTGTGAGACAAATCCACCTTTAAAGGGGCACTGATGTAGTCCGACTATAATTTTTTGAGGTGGGGGGGTTGATTTTGCAACAGAATGTCCACATCCTCTGGACTTAAGTATGCAATAAAATGCACCGTGTAAGATAACAAATATTGAAAAGCAGAAGCTATTGTAATTCTAATGATGCCAAAGGTAGCCAAAAGCACGTAAATACACTGTATTATATATGCAAAGAGACACAAATGCTCCCCGCATTTCCGCACTCATTGTAAAACAAATGGCTCATTTAACAGAGCAGTGTGCAACAATAGGTAATGTTTCTAAAAGCAACTCTGACTCATTTGCCTCTAGGTGGGCCATTTTCTGCTCAGAAGAGATGGGATCATTTCGGCTCCCCTGTTGCCTGACCCCAGCTGTGACCACAAGGAGTCCCGATGACTAAAATAAAACCCTGTGCTTTACAGTGATTTCACTGTAAATAAAAAAAAAATAAAAAAAAGGGGGCACATTGAGTGCAGCATGACTCAGATGTACACCTGGAGAATTTTTGGACAACATGCTCTAAAATGAGTCATTATGCATTGCAGTAAGGGGAGTGAATAAATCAAATCCATTTTTTATTTCTTTGCTATTTATTTAGTAATATGACATATCATACATTTGAAGGGTCTTTAGCATCTGTACAGCATATGACACCCTCCTCCCTAAGTTCATGCATTGCCATTTAGGGATGTGAATTGTAGCTGCAAGAATCTGGCAACACAATACACATGAGGGGTAATGACATGTTGTTATAGTGCAGGTAGGGCCACATACAAAGGCCCCTTGAACCTGACTTTTTAAATATGTGTTCTTTATGTTAATGTAGCGACATGTGCTAACTCCTTGTAGATAGATACAACACTGTGATCTTGCACACACGTAATTAAAATCCAATCACTCAATCAAGACTTTTCTAAAACTATTAATCAAACATTCTAACATTCGTTTTGAGTGTATCCAAAATTTTACTGTCCTTATTCTGATAAAGGGAAACTCCCCAAAAGGCAACAAATTTAGCCTTTATTCCACAAAATCACACAAGCACCTTTCAATAAATGTGTTTAGTATATCCGCCTGCACCCTGTTACGGGAGCATGTGCACGAAAGCCACAAGGCAGCATGTGATAGCAATCCTAAATGCAGATCAGCCCCCCCAACCCCCCCCCCCCCCCCCGCCCCCCAAGGGATACAAAGAAGCAAACAAGCTTGTTTAACAACACACATAGCCGCAAACATTCTGACATATACATGCACATATACATTAAAAAAATCCAGACGGTGCACCCTCTGCTATATACTGGTAGTTTCTAACCCCCCCAAAAAAAGATAAATGACAGCTGGAGAAAACTAACCAATCATATTACTGCCAGGTGCACACATGGGACACATTTATTTCTTTGCCAGCAAGGCTAACGGTTAAAGCTAAAAATGAAAGGAAGTCAATTCATACACACAAATATATCGAATAGAAAGCAGATTTGAAACATTTTGACGGATTCTCAATAATCGAAGAAAACTCAACAACATTTCTCAAAAATGTAGGAATTATAATTAACAACCGATTCAGTACAGAATGATATGTTGACCCATGATATGCTGCTAGCTGACAATAATACAAAGCTCAATGTGATGAAAATATTAATGAAATATCATTCTTACTTCAGTCTTTTTTAACCATCAGAGGAGTGTTCTCTGTCTATTCATCAATACACTTCTTTCTCTAGAAGTCTTTGATTTGTCATAATGGAGAAATATTTGATTCCATTATAAGAGCTGCTGATGAGCCACGTTCTGTTTAGTGCGATTCCAGATCTATATGTGATATGTTACTGAAAGGGGACGCACTTGGGCACAATTACGATATGGACATTTTAGTAAGCACGTGATTGGTTACACTTTGAACGATTGAAACATCAACCCTGATTATTTGTGATGTTTAGGAAACAGCAAAAGCCTTTTTTGTTCTTTGTTTTATTTGCACTCATTCTGTATCATTTGTAGATTTGTATGCTCATGCCAACTGCAAGGATAGGTGATAGAATTTGGAAAAAGCTGGTCGCCTGATATAAAGCTATGAATTAGAAACAACAACAACAACAACAACAACACTCTCTTAATAAACTGCTGTGTGTTGATGCTCTTTTACTCCTGAGCAGATTTTACTCACCTGATGAACCACCAGCCTTCCAGGTTCTTCTGGATGACCTCCACGGTGACCCCTTTCTCAAAGCTGACTTCATCCTTCCCCTGGCTGGTGTACGGCTGTATTGTCACATATTTCTCCTCTGGAGTGCATGAAAGGTAACGGAGAGAGAAAAAAGAAACAAAATGAGTGAAATAGTGCCATTTAACAGTCTTTTTTTTTTTTTACTGCAGTGTGATAATACCATATAGTTTACATCTATCCCAGAGGAACATATCAGGGGGGGAAATGACGACTTTGACCTACTTAAAATGCTCTGACTATTTTTCATACCAACACAAACACAACCCTCTCCCCCTCCTCATGTTAAGACAATCATAACAACCGGCTCCCCCTACTGGCTGAACCTCTCCTCTTTTGCGGCTCGTTTCTGATCCACGCCTGGCCCATTTTGGACCTTGATCCAGCGTTCCTCTCTCTACAGGGAGATTCCTCTTCTAGCATGCAGGCCCACATCAGGGCCTCATTTGAGAAGATAAGACTTATTGGACCAAGATATCTCCGCTCATACCCCTTTTTTTCTGATTGCCAATCCTGTCTCACGCACTCTGCAGTGCTTCCAAAAGGAATTCAAGGCAAAACGATGGGAGCAGAAGAGGAGTCTTAAGACTGGCAGGTAGATCAGACCATGGACACCAAGGAGAGATGATCACATTACCACTTTGGCTGCACTCCATGGCCTATATAAATGGATACGGTATGCTGAGAAGAAAAAAACCTCATCCATTGCTAGAGAACACAATGGAAGAAGTGGCTGTAGGTATTGATCTTAATCAGTACAGAATAAATGAAATAAAGAGGAGAGAATAAGACCTGATATTGTTGGAGGTAATGAGACTGTTTTGATGAAAACATGAGGGGCAGGGAGGGTAACTCAGAGGTATGTGTGCGAGTGTTTATTCATCTGAATGCATGCTTTCAGTAGGTGGGGTACGTTCAGACGGCGGGGATTCCAGTTCCTCTCCTGCCTCTCAGTGCGGAGCAGCTGGGGTCAATAATGTAATGTCAAACAGGGTGGTATGTCTAGCCCTGAACCTCAACTTGCAAAGCATGTTATGTATTTATGTGTGCGTGTGTGTGTGTGTGTGTGTGTGTGTGTGTGTGTGTGTGTGTGTGTGTGTGTGTGTGTGTGTGTGTGTGTGTGTGTGTGTGTGTGTGTGTGTGTGTGTGTGCAGAGCTAGGGGTGATTGCTCACAGATGGACAGGGAATAACAAATGTGCCGGCTCACAAAATAATCTGCGACGTCTTCCTTAATACATGAGCTTGTTACGAGTGTATTGATGGAATACAAACAACATGTTTTGTACTTTGTAAAAGTTTCAATAAGGAGGCGTTCTTCTCAGACTGATAGTGCAGCAAATTTTACAGCCATGGGCTGAATTTGTCTATTGGAAATATTAGAAAAAATATACAAAGATTTTTCAAGTGGTATATTTGTTTTTCACTATTTTATCCCTCTCAAATCCTCAACTAATTTTAGGGGCAGTTTTTCCAGCACCCCTCCAAAAAAACCTAACCCAAACCCAACACGACCCCCAACAACAACAACAAAAACCTTAAACCTCTGGTCTCATTCTGTTTCATAAAACTGCCCAACACTCACAATTTGTGCTTTTAAAATTGTTCCAGGATTCAGTTTTTTTTTTTTTTTTACAATATCAGGTAAGTTGTTCAGGAGACTTGTTGTGTCTTGATGTAGCATCTCAAATCAGTAGAAACAGATGATAAAAGCACCGACTAGTTTTCACTCACAAGATTTGACAAAACAACACACGTGAAGAATACTACATTACACAGCAGAGAGGTAGTCCCAGGAGAGGTTCTCAGATAATGAACCAATCAGGAGGTGGCATTATACTCTCTGATGGACAAAAAATAATATACTAAAAATCAATTGTGATTGTGATGAATAGTAAATAAAAGCTGGGAGGCATTCAGAAGTAAAGTCTATGATGGAGAAAAACACTCATAAGGCTCCAGAATGATAAGAAATTACTTTTTTAAAGTCTTTCTATGTGATTTTTCACACTTAAATATAATAGAAATCAAGTATATCCTCTGAAAATAACTCTGAGTCATGACTGTCTACAATGGGTGTAACACCTGAGTCCCACTGTCTGTGATGTTTTCAGAGTTTTCAGAGTCCTATCTTCAGTATGTTTACATCGCCGGGACGGCCGGCTGACTCCTCCCCTCGTGTATAAAAGTTGTTTAATTGAGGGACTAGAGAAAAGAAGAATAACATACTGTACTCACTGCTTAACTGTGTTTCTAGATCACGCTCATTTCAGGTCAATTTACATGCAGTGTGAAGATACCAGCATAATAAAGATCGCTAGCATTAGCATGCTAACACAACAATGCAGCGCAAGTTGTTTTGGTTTCATGCTGGTGCTCAAGGGCGACATCTGCTGGATCAAAAAATCACATATAAAGACTTTAAAGAGCACAATCCCAATGCAGACCTCCATGTGCTCAGCTGTAATGGAGCATGAGCTGCAGACGGTGCTGAGAATGTAGTAAACTATGGACTCTTATGCATGATCTGCTGGACAAACTACATGAACACAACATTTCTAAATCAATCCAAGCACTTCTTTCTGCATTTTATGTTCTGTAAAAGAAGTTTAATATCCCCATGATATTGGAAATCATAAATGTTGACACCTACAGTTATGTGTGTCAGGTCATATTTGAAAAAATAAGATCGGCAGACTGGTTTTTATCAGCCAAGGTGATTATTTTGAATTTATCATTCCCAGGGGCTAAGAATGAAAGATGTCACTGATCACATCTATTAATCACATCTGTGTTTTGTGACTTTCATGAGCTGTGCACATGCCTCAGTGGTCCATCAATGTGTTTGCGTTGGCATCAGCGTCACACTGCAGTGACGGCACAGTGAGTCCAGAGGAGGGTCAGTAGGGACTACAAATCACATTAGGGACCTGCTGAAAATGATAGCACTCTGAGAAAGGACAAGCAGGGCGGAGGAGGGAGGACAGTTTTTTATTGAACCCCTGCCAAGAACACAATGAGGTCACACTGCAAGCCAGTAGCCAATCGGAGACCCGCAGCGAGCTCAAGACACCCTGACCCGGCTTTGTGACAGAGCATCTGGGAGTCAAAAAAGTGATGAACCTTAATTTAATTTTGGTCTTGAGTGCGCCCTTTATTTCACTGTCAACATCATCTCTATGAAGCATCCCGTGAAAGAGCAAAGGGAATCTGCGTCAGCACACGAGCTGCAGATTCTGGAGGAGGAGACGACTGCTCTCCCTCCATTAGCAAACGAGCTCCCCGGGAGAACATAAATCATATTGAATCAGTCTTTTGTTTTTGTCCTTTTCCAGCGCTTCTAAATCACGCTGTATCTCATGTGTCCGTGCAGAGCTGTAAAACCTCACTCACCCATTTCTTATCGCTAAGCCTGGCAATGCATTATCAGGCCCCGGACAGTGGTGCCTCCACTCACAAAGCAGAGAAGGGGGGAAATGGGGATGACAAGAAGGTTGGCGAGGATAAGACGAGGAGGCTGGAACTTTTTTTTCTTCAATGATAGCTGCTTTTTCTTTTTTGTCACTGTGCTAAAACTTTCAAGATAAAAAAACACGGCACCAGGCCAGTTCCACTACACTTTTCTTGTGGTTGTCTTTGCTTTCTGGCAGTCATATTATTCCCAGTAGCACACCCTCGGGCCATCTGGTGCAGCAGGTCTGGACTGAAGCACAGTTGAAACCGAGTTCAGGCACAGACAGGCAGACAGCACAGTGCAGTCATTGGACAGCACGCCGACAGAAGGTAATACAGTCACAAAGTGAAGAGTGGTTAATGATTGAAAAACCTGGAAAATCCACGGACAAAAAAAAAGGACTGAAGGCGGCAGCAGCTGCAGGTTTCATGGTGAGACTATTTCAGAGGTTGGATAAAGGGGCGGACTGGTCAAGCCTTTTGACATGTCCGCAATGCAGCGAGTAACTCTTACAATTTGAAAACTCTCTGTCCTCTTATGTGTCAGTCCTTTTTTACCCTACAGTATGTGTGGCTTCATCACTTTCAGCCAAACCAATCCCAGTCCCACTGCATGCTGATACAGCCTCTCATTAAGATGTATTCCATGATAATGCAGCAAAACCCTAAAACAAGAAGTTTAAAAAGTCAACCGGCCTGAACTCTTAACACTGTGGTGTTAAAGATGTTGAGCTATCTTCTCCTCATATTTGTCATTCTGGGAGATGCCATTGGTGAATCTCTAGGTGAAGTATTGTATTTAGAGTGAAGCTGCCTCTCATATCTGATCATGTGCCCTGTCAGCAAAAAAATGTGCTGAAACTGGAACTGCAAAAACAAAAACAACAGAAAACAAGTGAATTTGCAGAATTTGACAAAGTGTCTTAGAATTTGGCAACATGACAATAGCAAAGCTTTTTTTTTTGGTGGCCTGTGATGATTTCGGCAATGCTGAGTAAATCTAACACGAACAGTTAACACAACTCTAAACACTCCAGGTTACTCCAGTTACCCTGTGACATGACATGTAGTAGATGTATTTAACTCTCATATGCAGGAAGTGGAACATACACTCGGTAAGCCACTTATTATTACCAATTGGAATAGTCATTCATCTCAATTTTGGCAAGTTTCATGTAATGAAGCAGGAGCCATCCCAAGGACTTCATGCTATTTCATCAACGTCAAACATTACTCAAAAACATCTGCAGCCAAGTTGTCTTGAATAAAATAAAACTTGCCCTTGAACTGTTCCACGACTGTAAAACAATCTGCTGTCACTTCAGTTACTCTTGGGAGATGTACAATCCTATCTCGACATGTTGGGCAACATTTTTTCATCACATTTGCCTCACTCAAACTGCATGTCCGGGATGATATATTTCATGTTTTGTCAGTATCTTAAGCAACTCACACCCTCAACTCAACTGCATCACACTACTAAAAAAAGGTTTGATCTCACTGCAAATTAAAGGCTTTATATGCAATTTTTTGATCCAGCAGATGTCGCCCTTGAGCACCAGCATGAAACCAAAACAACTTGCGCTGCATTGTTGTGTTAGCATGCTAATGCTAACGATCTTTATTATGCTGGTATCTCACAGAGTTATTTTCATTGGATATACTTGATTTCTATTACATTTAAGTGTGGAAAATCACATATAAAGCTTTCTTCAAACTTGAAGAAAGTTTGTCTTCTTTTCTTGATTCACAATACATCGCTCGGCAGCCAATGTTAAATGTTACACTCTCAGTTAAATGACATCTTTGAATGTATAACACATATGGCTTCAAACATTTGAACTGTAACCACACTGAACAAAACAAGCAAGTTTGAAACTCAGTGAAACAGAGAAGACCTGAAATGCTCTTCTCACTACACTACAGTCCAAGATTAGACGTCTAAAAAAAAAAAAAAAAAGAAGAAAAGTGCTTGAATTCCAGAAACGGCCTCCAAAAGTGCTTCATGGCCTCATTCTCCAGTGGCGACAGCTAGCCTGGTGACTCATCCACACTCTATAGACGTTGAGGTTCTGTGTGATTAAAACCATTCTGCAGATTGGGCTGCTGCCCCACTTTCACACTTTTCCACCGGCTCGCTTTGGGCCAAGCCTCGCTGTTCTGACAGACGTTATCTCGTTAGGTAATGTTCCTGCAGACCTGAATAATGCTGTAACCCTAACTCTGATTCTTACTATTTGACTGAGTCATCCTCTAATCTTTCTTCCAAGACCTAACTACCCAACTTTAATTCCCAGAGTGTGAGGTTTGCGACTGAGTGTGCCCCCAGTCTCTGTATAGCTACCACTCTTTCCTACAAAACCAAACACTTTAATGATGTGGGTATGTGGCAAAGTGTGTAACTTACACTGCATCAACTGCCTGAGGCTGTGATATAAGAATATGTCTGGTATATTAATATGTATGTAAGTAAGTAGGGGCCCTTCCATTTGTCTCCTGTACAGTAGAAGTTACTATAGGCTTTCTGGAGTAGAAGCAGCACATGTCGTGCTCCTGATTTCACTCTTTTTTTTTTACCTGCTTGCTAAATATAGATGGTATCACATTCATTACAGCCAGGCCATATTATGAAGACAAGAAACAAAGAGTCTTATTAAGGGTTTCACAGAGGTTTCTCTGCTCCAGGAACAGCTTCCACAAAACAGATCGTAACTTCAAGGTGTCTGCTAGGAGCCCTGAGTAATCCTGAGAGAAGAAAGGCACCCAACTTACAGTGTGGAAAAAGCTTTGAAACGTTAGAGCTGATTCATTTCCTAAGAGGAATGAAATGTTGTTTCAGACATGGACTCATGTCTCCATTTCAGCATCAAAGCAATATTGACATAACCAAATTGCAGTTCATTTTAGAAATGCAAATATTAAAAAGCGTGCAATGACATTTTCATGTTTGTCTCTATTTGAACACATAAACTGAAGCAGTCATTAACAGCTTTTTCAAACCGAGGGGGAGCTTGCTTTGATCAAGCTGTTATACAATCATTTATGTTCACATCATGGCTTGGTGGTTGTCAAGGTTGCTTGCTCTGTGCTGCGAAAAAGCCGAAAAAGCCTCAATTATCCAAACATATTTAAAAGGCAGCCCAATTATTTGTTTTTGCCCAGTGTGAGTAGAAGAGCATTCCAAGTTTGATGGAGTGAGAGTTGAGATTTTACTGTCAGAGCTGACTCACGGCCACCCAATAATCTGCTCCCGGTAGATTCTCCAGGCCAGTTGTTTGTTGGCTGACTGCTGAGGATGTGAATGAGGTTGTTTACCATGTGGACCACAAAATATGTGAAAGTAAAGACGAGTGGGGCCCAAAGAGGGGCTCAGCAGAGGTACAGTGCATTTTCCTTGTACTGTATGAGCTGGTGAATCAGTTTCAAACACTTTCTTTGTCATCTTATTCTGACTTTTTGGTGCTTTTATAATTTTGCTGAATGTATTACCTAAAATAGAATGTAACACATGCATGTGAAATGAAAAATACTCCATTCAAAGTTCCACTTCCTAGCTTTATCTGAACTTCTTCACCTCATCGTCTTTTTTTAGGCAGGAGAAATAACATGAGTAATACTTTGTGAGCTAATATCAACTTGACAGTGGAAAGTAGAGAAATATAGTAAATCATTTTTTCTTAAACTGACCTGTGCAGTTTCATTGTTCAACCTACAGCAGGGCACTTAAACATTTGAAGCTGGCAAACCAATAGCCTGCTTTGACTCTCTCTTGTTCTGACTATTTCAATCCTACAATTATAATTCTCTACATTTTCATCTCTGAAAAGAAAATCTAACAAGTGTACATGCTAATACAATTATCTCTTGAAAAGGTCCACGTTCTAGCTTTGTCTGAGCTTCTGCGACTAAGTCTTCATTAGACATAACAAAAGATTTATGTGAGCTCATGTTAACGGCATAGTAGGCTAAAACATCTGAATTTTTAAGAGCAATATATTTGCAATCTTCATTAATTGCCAACATATGAAATTGTAAAAAAATAACTATTGCTTACTTTTTTCTAAGTTAGGAGCATATTCAAAATTCATCCATCATATGTACTGCTTTTCCTATTCGGGGTCTCGCCCAGCTGTTGGTGCCAGAGGCGGGTGTACCTGGACTGTTGGCCAGTCAATCTCAGGTCTGACATACAGAGACAGACAACCAGCCACACCCTCACTTACGGGCAATTTTAGAATCACCTAACGAGCATTTCTTTGGACTGTGGGAGGAAGCCCGAGTTCAAGGAGGGAACCCACACATGCACTGGCAGAACGTGCACAGAGAGGCCCTGCTTGACGGGGATTCGAACCAGTATCCTCCTTCACTGTGAGACAACCACTGCACCATAGTGCAGCCCAGATTACAAGTATCTCTACCGTTAGATCTGCCACCATGAGCTACAGCTCTCCTTTCAAGTGATTGAAAAGACACCGTGAGAGAACATGCAGGACAGTGTTGTCTGAAATATTTCATCTCAAGCTCTAGCTCTTTGGTGGACAACCTTTGAAAACCTTGCCATAATGTGCACAACAGAATGCGCTTACTTGAGAATTTTTGACTCATGCACTCTTTTATAATAAAGAAGGCTCATCCACGTGTACTGTGTGCATTCTCTTCTTGCAGTGTGTTCCGTGTGCGAGTGTGTGTGTGGGCTTTTTTTGTTGCTAAGGTCACCTCTGCTGTGCTGACGGTTCACTATCCCCCCCAGAGTCCAGCGGCGGTCCAGCCTCTTCAGATGTGCCTTGCGTCTCTTAGTAACTGGGTGGCGATGAGAAGCAGCCACAAAGAAAAACAAACAAACAAACAAACAAAATGTTGGGTTAGTCCAAAAAAGCATCGGTTAGCAAAAGTCAACAAAAGCAAACAAAAGCTGCTGTTAGAATCACCAGAGGACAACTGCAAATAAACACCATTTGTCTGTCACATGTGAAGAGAACAGATCATGTTATGTAAGGGTAAAAAGGGTTTTTTAAGTGTTTAAGACAAGGATTTGTTTAATGCAAAGTTAGTTTTTATTGTTGACATTATTTTGAATCCATTACACAGTACACAAGTGTTAGGTAAAACTTCTCATTCTGGACGTTTGTGGAGGGAAAAGCAGAAATCAAAGAGGAGTAGGAAGAATATATTTGAAGGCAGAATCATATGTATTTAGTATGGATGGTGGGATAACCACGAAGATCAAATGTGTGCCTTTATTGTTTTTTTAATTAATTAATTAATTTTATTTTATTTCATGTATGTATTCTTGTATGTTTAAAAAAAAAGAGAACTAGTAATGTAGTAAAACAGCCTGCAATAAAGTAATAAAAAAAAGTGTACTTTCATCTTTTGTGCATGTGTACTGTACAACCTGATAAACCAGTGAGCTAAAATGATGATCAAAGATCCCCTTAAACAACAATGATGAACTTCAAGCAAGAACAACAGCTGTACTTTCTGTCCTTTAAGTGGAAATGACCCCCTTTTCTCCTGAAAAACTGACAAAAAGGTAATAAAATAACAAGTTTTACAAGTATGGACACAAATGCTTTCTTTCAATTTTCAGTTTTAGTTTTCAGAGAGAAGTTAAATCTGTGGTGCCAGATCTTGTAAAAGCGTGCTGCTTTGGCTGAGACAGAGATATAACATTGCCATGATTTTTTTTCATCAGGAAGAAATGTGGTTTGTGAAAGAATTGGTACACTGGATGACTCCGTTGCTGAAGAAGCAAAGAAGCAGTCATAATCTTTTTTTAACTCCACTTCTCCCGATTGAGTAAAAAAGACCTGGCGCTGGTCTATCATAGCAGAGGGAGCAGAGCAAGATACAGATACAGGAATAGACTCTCAGTGGCCGTGTCTTATCTGAACCGTTGTTACTACATCCTTCACTGAAGAGTGAAGGATCAATGGCTCACATAGGAAGGATCAAAAGGACAGATCTGATTGATATGAAAGAGGGAAACGATGATGTCTGCATCCAGAATCTCAATGGAAACTTGCACAGCGTGAACTCTTAGCCTCCATCTCTCCTTAGTAGTTCCAAGCCAGCATGATAAAGAAGCAGTCATAACAGAACAAGTCGTTTTTTTCCTGTCGAAGTGCCATCTCCAAGGCCACATGAAGAACAAAACTATTCATGTTGGGGAAAGACAGATGGAAACAGCCGATGTCTTCTGCCTATCTTTGTACAGTGCTGATGTAATTTTGGTGACTCTTCACCCTCTTGTCTCCCAATCTTTCCTCCTGCTCGACATCTGCCCTCCTCTCTTTGTGCGCTGGCTGCTACTTGTCATTTCCTCTTTCTTTTGATTCGTCTCTGCCTTCCATCCATCCCAGTGAGCGCCACCCTACCCCTGTTGACCTCCTAATTGAAATATCAGCTAAGGGAAGGCACAGAGGGAAATGTTATTTCGAGGTAATTTCAGTGGGGGCTGGGGCCTGCGCTCGTCGGTTCCTCTCCAGCAGGCAGGGCTGTCAGTGGAATTAGGTTACAGACCACGCAGAGATAATGAGATGTAAGAGACGACAGGAAGCGGGGAGAGGGAGATCAGAAATAAGAAGTGACGATGTGTGCAAACACAAAGACACCAGGCCTAATGGGAGAATGGGGCCACTGACAGAGGAGGGGTAAGAGTGTGTGTGTGTGTGGGTGTAGCTCAGGCCCTTTCCACATAATTTACTTGGCTCTTCTAATGGTATATATTTCATCTTGATTCCTAAAACAAGCCGGCTGTGCTCACTAAGTAAAGGCTTGTGGTGTTTTTGAGAAAAAGTTCTCCTCAGAGTATTAAAAAAACATCACAGGTGCACTTTCTTTGGTGGCTCGTCTCCCCTCGCTCTCTCCCATGTGCACTTGTGTAAAGAGGGGTCTACTGAGATGCTCTGCAGGGAAACATCCGCAAAGAGACATCTTCTCGTTAGCCCTCAAATTGATGCACAGGGAACAAAGATGTTTTTTTTTTTTAATCTGCACCTTGTAAAAACATAGTGGCTTTATTACTCACAGTACAACTAGGCCACAAACAGTTAATAATAATAATAATAATAACTTGGATTTATATAGCGCCTTTCAAAAAACCCAAGTACACTTAAATTAAGTCAAAGGTTTTATGAAAGAAGCAGCTAATGTAGTTTCAGCAGGGACCAGATAAAACAATGCATCCCCTCTGTTTTCCCTCTTTAGTAAAAGCCAACCACTACTGGCTAATAGATGCAGCCCATGTGAGTTCTACTTCAATTAGACACTCAGTTTTTTCCATATGGCTCATCATACTTGTCTTACCGTAACTCATTTGACTTAAAGGTCACATACTATACTCCTTTTCTACAAGTTTGAAAAAATCTCAGAGCTCCCCAAAACATGTCTTTGAAGTTTCTTGCTAAAAATCCACTCTGATCCTGTATTTGATCATGTCTATTAACCCCTCTATTTCAGCCCTGCTCAGAACAGGCTGTTTTTGTGTGTGTAGCTTTAAATGCAAATGAGCTGAGTCTGACCACGCCCCCTCTTTGGATGGGATTGGTGGCTTGGGCTTTCTCGCTTCATATCCTATTGTTTACAGTGGAAAGGGAGACTCAGAGGGCAGAACAAACACCTAGCTGTGGGAGTGTCACCCACCTGGGGGAGGGGTTACTTCCCTTTGTGATGTCACAAGGGGGGGGGGGGGTCAGGTTAGTGGATAGAGTCTGAAATCGGAGAGAAAGTGGGGAATGACATGCTGGAAAGGCTTCAAACCCTGGCACACGCTCTTGAGGACTTAAGCCTCTGTTCAGGGGGCATGAGCACTAGCTGCTAGGCTACCAGTGCCCCCCTAGTTTGATCTTTTAATTATGTTTATAGTCATATAACCTGTGGTCACAGGCCTACCCGTTAACACAGGTCAGGACGTCTACACCTGTGTGGACTTGTTACTATTTGCATTTTATGTTTTTCTCATTTGACCACTAACTGCAGTGCAATGGGCTGAGAAGCCCTCAATTGTAATTTGGCCAAATGACCCTTTAAATGCTTGAATTAATCCAAATTGCATACTCTATAGCACACCAAATTTAATCAACGTTAGTTTACTGAAAACACGAAAATACAAATGAGACACCACTCATTAAAACATTGCAAACATACAATCCCCAAGCAATAAACACTACATATCCATTAGGCTGTTATTTCACCTCTAGGATACAGACTGTACGAGAATTCACTGTTGCAGGCACTGACAACATCTATTTAGTGGGAGAGAGGTGGGGGGGGAGAAATCCCTGAAACGAATGAGAACAGCAAATAACAGTGACTGTGGCAGCTGTGCAGGAGCTGTCATCATTCTAGCGGAGTGTGTGTATCTGTGTGTATGTGTGTGTCTTGCAGAATGTGCACAGTTCAATGAAGCGAGGAGGCTTGCACATCTTAATGAGAGACAGACCATGTTTGTTAGATAATCCAGTGGCACTCTGAAGCATGATAAACCATTGCACCAGTCCTGTTTCATTTCCACACACTGGCTGCAGATAAACCATGCAACCATGTGTATGGCATGTATTTCTAAGCATGCGTGTGAGCATACTTGCATGTTAGCACTTTATTTATCTCTATTGGATTCCCTTGGTCTGAAAGCAGAAACGGGGGACTTATGACACAGTGATGAAAATCTCCATCCCTGCAGTCAGACTAAACATTAGGGAGGAAAGGGTCACAACAGAGCGAGCCTCCTGCAAGAGTTGCAGCCTCCCGAGGGAGTTAAAAGGAATTTTTCTGTGGTGCCAAAATATTGCAAACCCCTTTGGCTGTGGTCTGGTACCATTTCACCATGGAGCCGCGACTGTGGTCTTTAAGGCTCCTAATGTGTGACTGGAAGTTTGTGACTGTGTGCAATGTGCTTGTGTGTTTACAGTTGGCTACTGTGTTGCTTTTTTTTTTAGATTGAGATAGAAGCACAGAAAAACCACACGCATAAAAAAAGGATTATTTAGAAATAACGGCCGGTTCTACTCAGGGGGTTTTCTCATCCAGAGGAACATTTATGTCTTTGTTTTAGGAATCTAATAATGTCGTGTTTGTCTGAGCTAACCTTCCCCGGTCCTCGAGGTGCCCAGATCCAAGTCGTCTCTGGTTACATTCTGGGAGTCCAGGTATGTGGCCGGCACCCAGCCCTGCTCCTCTGCTGTGCTGACAAACCACCAGCCTGAAAATAAAAATAGAAAGAAAGGGGGGGGGGGGGGGGGAGACAGAAATTAACATAAGCACTGCTAGCAATCACAAAGTCATGAAGTATGGCAGCTGCCAACATTCCCCCATGTGGTGATTTACATCAAATAATGGGAATTACACGTCACTGTTGCTCATCTCTACAGTGTTGCAGCATGTGCCTGTGGATGAACCAGCATTTGAAACATAGCAATTTCAGCCTGTGTACGGATGACTAAACTGTACGTTCACTATGCTGGGCTTTTTTTTTTTGAGTATCAGGATGAGAAAGAGATCCGAGGCAGACCCATTGTGGATGAAAGTTTCACCTACTTGGAAAGCTTTCATCATTACTAAACCAGACGTTGAAAGAGATGGAGAGATACCAGATAGGAATGTTTCAGAGACTGAAGAAAATTGGTTTAAAAAGTTCTTATTGTGAATGTTGAAGATCAAGATGGTTGAGGCTGGTGGATGGATTAAGAAGTCTCTGCTTTTTTTAATTATTACTTATTTTGAAATGGTTTTTTTTTACTGCTGCTGTCTTTCCTTACTTCTCCCAAAGCTTATTGACAAGTTGTGTGGAGTAAATTCAATCCTGTGAGGTTGTTCATAGGCACAGTGCATGGCGTCAACTAGGATAGAAAAAGAAAAAACTTAGCAATATGTTTCTAGCCTTACTTCAGGCTCCCAAAATACAACATGGCAATGGCCAAACTTCCAAACTTGAGGCTTAGTATATCACCAAAGTTTCTTATCATTCTTTATCATTGTACTAATTTCCATTGTAGTCTATCTAATGGTTCACTCAATCAAAACGTGTCACCTTTATTGTGGAACAACATTTCCTTAAAACCTCAAAAGTCTGTAAAAGACAGAAGTGGATATATTTCACTGGACAAGTGAGACATGTCAATGTGCTGGTGGTACATAAAAAGTGAGGGAGAAACCCGCATTTTACAGATTAATCATCCGAGAAGTTACAGTCGTACCAGACTGTTGGACAAACGAACTGTCCGGTCGATCAACTGACCAACCAAATTTGCCATTCTTGCAGCCCTGTCCACCATCATGGCTGCCTTGGAGAAGAATACTTCACCAACCTGAGTCATGGCGTGTTGAGTCATTGCCATTACAGATGCTGAATGTATATTTTAAATATATATGTATATATATTTTCTTTAAATATGTCTGACACTAGCTGACTAATCCTATGTCTTTGGGGAATCGGACAAAGGAGGGGTTTCCACTCAGGAATGGATTAAATATCATGGTTGCACCATTGTACTGCAGTCAAATTTGGCTTACTTCTTAAGCAAGAGAGATGAATGCATTGAATATGAATGACTAATGTTTGTGGTCAAAATGCCGGCTACTTTGGTACGTCATCCAGACAGCTGACATCACGCGATCACATAAAACTCATCACTGTGAGCGGGAGGCACATCATTCACTTCAACAGCAATTTAATGAATGGCATGTGTCCTCTTTTGCAAATCATCGGCCTTGACAAGTTGAACATGACAATTGTCTTTAAATTGGGTTGCATTAATTAGTCGAGTCACTTCAACTTCTGGCTAAAAGAAACCATAGGATTTAAAGAAAAAAACTGGAATGACAGCCAACTGAGTGAGATGTTTGCAGTTGTTTTAGGTGTTGTCTAGTTGTCACAATAGTGTGGAGGAAATATAAATCTGGGATCATATTGCTTGCTTTTTTGGCACTGATAGTAGCTGATGTGCTCTATACACACCCCTTATTCCCAAGGATCTATACAGTAAATTGGCAACTCCTGGTCTGAAGGGTTCAGACTGGTCTCAAGTGTTCCTTTGTAAGTGTGATTGAACATATAAGTAGAGTAGAAGTGACTTTGATTTAGACAGATGGGTGGAGGGAGACAGAATTTTTTTCTTATTCTAAATAAGTCCAACAATTAGATCATTGCTGCTCACCATACTGCACGGCGTACTCTGTAATGTGGTTGCAGAAGCCTGGATGAATCAACCCATCACGCCCTCTTTTACAACCGAGCGAGACACCAATCACATTAACACGTACTATGAATGATGTGGAAACTATGCCTGTTGAATAGAACTGTATCATTGGGAAAGTAACAGTAATGGTGAAGAGGGGTTGTGTGAGATGTGTTTGTACAGTAAAAAGCAGCAACAGTATAAAAAAGTATGTAACACTTCACAAAGAAACAGAGATTTGGATGCGACAGAGAATGCACATGCTTTTTGATAATTGCAAAAATATGATACGATAATACTAACTAAATGTGCGATCATTTAAACCAAACCCACAAACCTTAAAAAACGTTTTCAGAGCCTTTCTGACACGTGATTTTCCTGAGCTTTCAGTTTCTTTTTGTGGTCTTCCAAACAAAAGCGTCTTTGTCATTTAGGAAAACCTTCATCTTCAAGAAAACTGAATCAGCTGAGGAACTAACTCACAGAAGAAGACCATGACATGAGCTTTTAAAGCAGATACCAAGGGGACCCTCAGTTAAAATGTATATTCCTTTATTAGTAGTCAAAGTACTACTACTGTACAAAGGCGGGACAATCATAGAACTATCAATATTGTTTAATGAAATGTCACTTTTTTTTTTAATGATCAGTGAACATTAAATACCTCTTACTTAGTTCACAGGTAGTCAGATGCATTTGGAGCTTCTAGTAGAAGTACAATAAGCTTCAAATTGGCGCTTAGCTCAATTCACTCTGGACTGTAGCATTAACATCTGGGTTGGCACTTAACAGACCCCGGCAGAAGAGCCTGCACAACCGCCCCCCCCTGCATGTGGCCTCATCTCTCCTCAGCCGTATAAGCAGAATGAGGCCTGAGCCACCCGGACACTGACAGCTTATGTGTGGTATAAAACACTCCCAGAGAATCACACACACAATCTTACTGTTCTCCTGAATACCCCCACAGTATGTCTCACAGTTAAATATGGGAGTTAAGTCAACCTGAAGGGCCACAGACAAGCGGCGGGGGGGGGGGGGGGCGAACTTCCTCTTAGTCACCTTCACTTTCTGTGGATGCTCTGTACCTGCCAACAGCCTGCATGCCTTCTGACTCCTGTAGAGACACGGCGGTGCAGTTTGGCATCCACAGGGGTCAGCTCAGTTCATGTTGGACCCGTCAGGATCAATTTAGGAGCCTGTAAGGTCTCAGCCGGTGGAGGTAGCAGTTTTCACGTGAAATTGTATTTGACACCGCGACAGTTATATTGCGCTAATTAAATCTTACACCGTAACTCCTGGTTTAAGAAGCCCAGTGTTAAAATGAACAGCCTCGACACAGCGCTGGGACTTGTAAACGCAGGAGGGGCTGTCAAACACGGCATGTAGGGGACCGTTCCTGTGTGGGTGAAGGTAAGCGGAGTCGGTTGTGGCCAAACAATGGATAGATTATACTGTAAATATAACCGTTTCATGGTTTTATGCATGAATGTTTAAGAAGTGTTCATATTTATTGTGTCTATTTTTTGGTTGTGCACACTTAAATATAATGAAACCTGAAATTATATCACATGTTTAAGGGTATAACATCAAAGGGAAGTTAGAGTCTTAGTCCGAATATACCTTTAGGGGAATAATGGACTTGTATGTATTTTATATACAAAATGTTTAATTATAGAGATCTGAATAAAGGTATTGCTGATAGCTTGGAGCCTATGTATTTTCACTTTGTTATTTTGAATGACAATTCTCAAAAGAACAAAGCAATGAAATATAATATAACATGTATACTAATGAAAGAAAACACTTTGCTGGTTCACTACCTGGAGGATTAGAAATGCTTCCACTATTTAAACAGTTGATAATGGCTTCCAGATATGTTTCCATGTGGTTGGCACCATGTGTGTGAAGACTGATTTCATTTTCAAATTGTTCAGAAGTGGACTATACTCAAGCCGCTTTTGAAAGCGCCAAAGGCGGAGAGTTTATGTGATGATACCTGAAGGTTTCAGTCATTTTCTTTTGTGCCAGAGTGTGAAAGTAAGAACAGCTTGCTCTCTATGAAACACATTTCATGGGCTGATTCATTGTAACTACTCAAAGAGCTGAAAGAAGAATTGGAGCCACCTGTACGGAGGAGTGATGTAGTTCTGCACAGGGACATGAGCAGGAGTTCTTGCTCTCTTGAGCCCACCTGGCTTTAGCTGGAAAATAAACTCCAGGGATGATAAGAGGACTGCGGTGACTGTTTGCCATCAACAGTGGCAAGTGTAAGCTTCTCAGTTGCCCTTTATCTCATCTTACTACTGTCAGTGATTCTTTTATCTTACCCTCAGTCAGATAAGATGGAAGTGATCGTAAAAAGAAGAATTCTTGAACTTTAAAGATCCGATAACTTGGGAATGATTACAGCCTACTGATGATTTCATCTGTATTTGCTGCTCAAACTCATTCTCTACAGCTGTGGAGAGTTAAAACAAGGAATTGTTTAGGAACAAAAATAACACAAATGTGTTCAGTTCTTAAAGTTGAACTCCATTCAGAAAGAGACAGCACAAATATATTCAAACTGTCATCACAATGAGAGGTTGTACCTGAATGTTTACCTGCTGTTGTTGCTGTCTGAGTTGATATAAGCAGCAGTGGTAAAAAATGATAATATAATGTATAATATATGCGCCTCTTTGCTAAGAGTGTCATGTCTTGGCATTTCTCAAACTGGCTCGAGCCAGCAACAGTTAGCTGATCATAACAGACACCAAAGAAACAAGCTGGAAGCAGCTTGCTTACTTGGCTCCATCCAAATGTAACACAATCTGTTAAAGCACCTCTAAAGTTCTAAAGCACCTGTTACATATAGCTCATATATTTATGTCATATTTTACAACAATCTTAGGTGGAAAACACATGAAATATGAGGTTTCTATGTAATTTAAGCTTGCACAGGCTAGATCTTCCCTTGTTTTTACTGTCTTAAAGTTTAGCTAAGCAACCCCATTTATGTCTACTGCGAGATCCATCCATCCAT